TTTTCTCGAGTCAATTCCATTTTCTCAACGACTAAACAAGTTTGACAAAACCTCGTGACAAGACCGAGAATCTTTTTTTAAATAAATAAATGGTATTCGATTTTTAAAACCAAGGAGTTTTCAATTAAAAAGATTTTAATATGACAGGAACAGTGGAAATATTCCATTCCCGATACTTTTAGTGCAGCCTAGTATACAGATAAGTTTAGTCTGTCATCGGAGAGTTAAAACAGTTAATAAATTCGTTTTAGAATGAAACTACTCTTTTTAATTGCCATTGTAGGTAGACGAGCAATCGGCTCATCTGATGATAAGTAGTCACCGTCGCTCATGGACTTAAAAAATGTCAGACACAGTCGAGCCATTGCGTACTACTCATAATTATTTAGAATATTTTTTACATTTTTGACGAGGTCTATAATGTTGGTACTATACGGCTTGATATACCCATTGTGGAGCACCCTGTATGAGCACGATAACTTTATGGTACTAAAGATCTAATGCATAGCTGATTTGTTGAAGATATAAGTCTCTTCAGCTACATACTTTTTTTTATTGCTTAGATGGGTGGATAATCTCACAGCCCACTGGGTATTAAGTGGTTACTGGAGCCCATAGACATCTACAACGTAAATGCGCCACCCAGCTTGAGATATAAATTCTAAGGTCTCAGTATTGTTTCATACCTAACAATGCAAAAGGTAAATATGACAGGAAGTTGTTTTTATGACTGTATTTTTCAATTGTGAAATACTGATTAATTTGTTGTGAAGAACAAAATGAATCTGTATGTTTTCCTTACCCTCATTGATTAGTTGTGTTGTGGTTTCTTGCTCAGAGTGTTTTGTGGAGCTTGAAGAGTTCTCTAATGTTAATTTACTTACTAATTGCCCTGTACATTCAGAAACCTTTAAGATGATTCAGATCTTCTTCTTAATTAATTTACAGAAAATAATATTTGTATATTTGTTTGTTTCTTTGTATTCATAGATTTGGGATGTTTCTAACTTAATGCATAATAACATATAATTTCAACACAGTCTTATTTCATGTCTCGAGTAATATAGAGAACTATCAAATTATTTAGATTTCTTTTTAACTGTTATACAATTAATCACATAAGTCCTACACAAGTCCAGTCCTAGATAAGAAATCCTATGAAAGCCAGTTATAACAACAATTTGAATTCTCAATGTATATGTGAATTATGCTAATCATGCATGCATGCAATTATAAAGTAATATAAATAAAATTAATATTATATGAATTTATTTAGATGATTATTTTATGTTATCAAAAGTCTGATGAAGTTTACTTTACCCCTTGGTCACATTGATGAAAGTCAAAGCAAATCAGCTATCTTTTTATTTAAGAGATAACAGATAGCTAATTTTATGATTTTAACAATAAAAAAAACTATTCATGTAATTGTATGTTTTTACCTGCATTGACTAATTGTGATGTGGTCTCTTGTACAGAATGTTGTATAAAACCTGAAGCTTATGATGATGACAGCAATGTCAAGGACTGAGTCAAGCCGCTGCCTACAATGTAGTGAAATGAACTTACTTGGTATATGAAGAGAAGGAAATGCTTTTGCATTCAATCGATTATGTTGGTTCCTATCACTGTCTATGAAATGTATATCACATATTCTCTTCTTTTGATAATGTTCATAGTCTGATATTGATTCTAATTTTCCACCAACTAGCTTAACCCAAGTTTTAAACAGATCAGGATTTCTGATACGATTAGGTAGCCTGTGCATTGTAATATCTGAAAATAATGATATACAGTCAAAATCTGTTATAACGACATCGAAGGGACTGCTAATATTCAGTCGTAAAAACCGATAGTCGTAACAACCGGTGATGTTTAATGTGTATCGTGCAAGTACAAACAAATCGATAGGGAATTATTGGAAAAATGTATTTACATAATACGCGATTTTTCTTCAATATTAATTTGTTTTCTTTTTCGTTGCGATATTTTGAAAGTTTCACGAATAAATCCACAAAGTTTTTGTGCGTCTTGTGTATAGATAAGTAACAAACTAACTGAAGAGATATGAAGAAGCGGGCTTTGACTCTACCGCATGCACGTGTTTTGTTTCTAAGAATTAGAAAAGACCCTACACTAAACTAAATCCTATTGTTTTCTTTCCTGATTTTAATAGTCATTGAAGACAAATGTGGATACCTATTCAAATTGTTTACAATACGGCTTAGCCGGTCGTTCTAACAGATCTAATTCTCCGAAATATTAGTTAAATGTGGTCGTTTTATCAGGTATGTCGTTATTAGCAATGTCGTATAAAGCAATGTTTTTAATAAGGCGGTCATATAGCATTCAGCCGGGACCTTTGTTCTTGGTTATTATTACCGGTATGTTGTTCTAAACGATGTTGCAGTAAACGGTTTTGACTGTATAATATTATGATTAATTCAAGCCTAGCTAAGAAATTTGAATGAGCATGTATAAAAGAAGTACTGGAAGTTTGGAGATTACATATTCCAACAAGATTCAGCAATGCTGAGCTGATCTACAGAATTGACTTCATCAGGCTGCTCCTATTTCAGTGCCAATAAATACTCAGTAATAGGAATAGCATGTAGGTATATTTTGATTCCCTGGTAAACGATCTCTTATTAATAGGGAGCATACTATGTACATAATGCACGACTTCATTAGAATTTAAGTATGAGCTACCGCGGGGACGTATGTTTGAAAAATTAAATACGATAAACAGCTTTAGGAAAACTATTTTATTGTAATGAAAACCACAAACTTCATCATTACTATTACACTGTTTGTTTTTTATAGAGCGTATAGTATTAAATCCACTACGTGACTACTTACTAATCTACGATATCAAATTATTAAATGAGTAAACTAGTAAACCTTAGAATTTTCACTTACTAATGGACTCACAGCCAAATGCACAACGTCTCGGCATTTTGCCTCACAGAACACTATTACATAGATTATACACTTAACACTATTACTTGTTTTGCCTTTACCCTCAAATATATTAAGTGTATAATCTATGGCCTTTACTGAATGAAATTGTTGGCTCTGTAAATTTGGCCCCCTTTTTTTGATTATCGGATTTTTTTTGTTTTTAATTATTTGTTCGTCCTTTGTTCATTAATGTTCGAATGTAAAAATTGTTTGTTCGTCTTTTGTTTATTTATAATTAATTAAACAAATGATCACCGTTAAGTGGGCCCCTCTTACTAGATATCTTTATTTTTATCGCTCAGATTTATTTATTTTGATCAATTATCGTTTGTTCGACGACTATTGGTGATTGTTCGATCATAAAAACAATTAAATTCCCAATTATTAATTATTTTATATCTAATAAGCAAACCATCACCTCACGCCACCTTTTTTTGGTATTCAGATTTTTTTTATTTTTAATTATTTGTTCGTCATTTGTCATTGTTGAAATGATAATTATTTTTAAGTTCAAGAAATATATTGCAGGGACATTTAGTAGAAATTCATTTAATATGGAAGAATAAACTTAGTGTATATAAATATACTCTATAAATAGGAATTTATTAAAAAAAAATTATTTACGTCTATATTAACTTAATTATTATTATCGAGAAGTATCTTGATTGATTTAAATTACAAAGCTTCGTTTTTTTTTATTTTTATTTATTTGTTTTTTATGATCAATCAATCACCAATTGTCGTCGAACAAACGATAATTGATCAAAATGAATTAATCTGAGCGATAAAAATAAAAGTAAGGAGGGGCAAATTAAGGTGATCATTTGTTTAATTAATTGTAAATAAATAAAAGACGAACAAACAATTCTTACATTCGAACATTAACGATCAAATGACGAACAAATAATTAAAAATAAAAAAAAAACCTGTAAATAAAAAAAGGTGGCGTGAGGTGATGGTTTGCTTTGCTCGACTTCTACGAGTCCACCATCTCGCAGAAGGAGGCGGCGCCGCGTCGGCTGGGCGTCCTTGGGGTGAGCCGCGCCGTCTATGAAACCTATATTTAAGTCGTATTTTTAATAAGACGAAGCCAGCTGACAGTAGCTAATGTCACTTTGTAAAATAATGCTGCTATATTTAAAGTAATAGTGATGCGTTCAGTTCTCGTTGAATCACATGAATGAACAATGGGTGTGAAGAGTTAATCATTTTAAACTATAAAAGAATATTATTTCTATTTTACAATGAAATTGTATTAAAGTGCTCAAATATATGTTACTAGTAGTATGTAACTACAATCAGTTTTTTATTTATTTTCATTACCTATCTATAATTGTAAATTATATACATTTATAGTTCCAACTATATGATGTATTGAAAATAGGATGGTCTTACAAGTTTCCTCGCAACGTTTTCCTTAATGTTTAAAACACTCGGTATTCAGTATAGGTAGATACTATAGGAACATAATCGTCGAAAACTCGTTGGTATGTACAAAGCACGACTAAAATTCAACTACGTGCCCGATATCGGCAGTTCGGCACACTAACTATTCACTAGACAATCGAGGCAATTTCATTAATTCAGGAGTTTTTTCAATCATTCACTTTATCACTACACTATTTTTATTTCATCAAAAACTGACAACACAAGAAACGTCAGTTGACTTCGTCTAATAAAAAATCCGAGTAGTTTTTAATTGATAGGTTGCAAAGCGTCAACAATCAACATCAAGAAGTAATAGTGTTCTGTGATCAACATATTAATAACTATTAAAATGGCCAACGACAGGGAGGTACTTCGAGAAATATGGGATGGAAAACTACCGATATGTTTTCATCTTGCTCAAGAAGAAATAATGGAAATTCAACAACCTGATCCATTTTACGTTATGGTGCCTCGACTTAGCTACTTTCCTCTTGTCATCGATAAGGTAAATCTTTTAAAACAACACGCTATTTCGTTTTTGTATAAATATTGCATCGAACTTGGTTTCTTTTCAGATGAAACGTCACTTTCTCCGATTCATATCACAAGAGAATTCTGATAGTGAAATGTGGTTGGACTTTAATGGGCAACCCTTGAAATGGCACTATCCCATAGGATTTTTGTACGATTTGTATTGTGGTAATGATCCTCAACTACCCTGGACTTTGACAGTACACTTCACAAAGTTCCCTGAAGACATTCTTCTTCATTGCCCAAACAAGTAAGAACAAGATTTCTTGTAATCGGCAAAGTTATGATCAAAATTTGGTATTATGGTACAACAAATATAAGTAGAGCATTAATTTGTATTTGGTTTTATGGTCCTAATTTGTCCCAGAAAAAAAAAGAGAGCCAATTTAAATCTTTTTTTACATGAAACATTATCTTAATAATTATGCTACCAAGTGCTTGACATATTACAATGATCTCTTTATTTGAAATCTGGATTAAATTAAAATTTCAATAACTAGTTAATAATTTCTTTGTCTCCTAATAACAGTAAAATACTGATTATTATTTCATTACAAATATTTCACAGGACAACATAATTATATAAAAATATATATTCTTTCAGAGATGTAGTAGAAGCACATTATATGTCTACAGTGAAAGAGGCTGATGTACTGAAACACAGAGGACAAGTGATGTCAACTATGCAAAAAAAGGATCACAATCAGTTATGGCTTGGATTACAAAATGGTACATACATTATTTTTAATGCTAAGGGTGACTACGTGTTGTCTTGATGGAATGTAATACATTGAAAACACCACAAGAATTATAAATAATACTAAAAGGATTAAGGGTATAAGAACTCTAAAAGTTCTAGGTGTAGCTAAAAGATCTGGAACACTATGGTATGCAACCTGCCAGTATTAATATTGTTTATATATCATATGTCTGTCTATATCTCACTAAAATTGTGGGAATTTACTGAAATTACGTGGACTCTGAAAAGAACTTAACAATAGGTAGTATTCTCAAATTATCTTAAATTTTCTCTTAAAATGAGAAAATGCATCTTCGTTAACATATTTTTAAAAGCCCATGATTATTGTTTACATTGAAAAAACAAACATAATTAGAATAACTCTCCATGATTGCTTTCATAATTCAAAGATACTTTTAGTATTGTTTACTCTAATGAACAATTTATATTACTGTCCATTAATGTTGCAGCATGAAAACATTGTAAAGATAATGTTTAAGGATTCTGACAAACATACATTTGCCCAATTTACTTTATCAAGTGGTTACTGCTTCCTATAGACATATGCAATTCTAAGGACACAACCATGTTACTGCCTACTTTAAAATATTAGTACTCTTGATGAATAATAAATGAAAAAATATATAAATTGTAAATGTACAGAAATAAAAAAAATCTTTCATTTTAATATTGAAGTATGTCTTAGATTTTTTTGTCATTGCACTATCAATATAGTTTTGCAACAAGCTAATTAACCTTGTCCTTATAAATTAGAAACAACAAACATTTCTTATTTTTCAGACAAGTTTGATCAGTTTTGGGCTATCAACAGACGTCTTATGGAGTCACATGGTGATAATGATGGATTCAAACACATACCACTTAGGATTTATACTGATGATGGTGTATACAATCAACGCCTTGTCTGTCCTAAAAATACTGATAATAGTAGAAAAACGCTACAACAGATGATCTCCGAGCTATATCCAGAAAAATCAAATGGTACTTTTAATTTTATTGTTGAATAAAATTTATGTAATATTGTTTTTAAAAAAAATCTTATTTTCACAGTTAATCTAAGAACTCATGGTGTAATCATACCTCCAGAAACTCCTCTGCAGTGGCTTTCAGAACATCTCAGTTACCCTGACAACTTTTTACATTTGTGTTTATGCTGAAGATATTTGGGTCGTGTATGCATGAGTTGTGAAACTATTTAATATTTATAAGCTTATGTCACATGTTCTGTATCTTTTGAAAAATGTATTGAATTTACAATTCAGTATGTATTGTCTAGTCAAAAATGTATACAACATAACTATTGTATTCATTACGCATTCTCTGAATTGTTTATAAGTAACAGACATAATTATTAAAAGTATAGTATTTTACAGTTAAATCTCTCATTTATAATTAAATTTTACAGGTTTTGGATATTACAAATTTTTACAACTTTATTAATGTAATTTAAACAAACGATACTTAGTTATATTGAATTAATAATTTTATCTAAGATTCACAACTCCACCACCCTATTATTATATATTTAAACTTCATAGTCAGCCCGCAATACTTGATTATTGATTATTTTTCTACAAAAACTTAATGGTCCAAAACTTCTTTTCATACATCATAAAATTGGTCCCAAAAAAAATAGGTTATTCTGATAGGTCATTTTTGTTAGTTTGAGATTTGAGATGAAGTAGCAAACATTTACTTTGAATCTGCATGACGCAGGCATCTAAGTTACAGTAGTTGTGACTTTATTCCACCTTTATTTCGGTTATCTTTCGTAAACTGAGGTCAACAGAGTGGCTCACTGTCTATTCAATTAGAAGTTTGAAAACGATTGAAGCTAGCTGCCTTTGGTTCAAAATCTCATTTGCATCGGTACTCTGCCCAGAACGGTGGTACGCGTCAGTACAAGCTTGTATAATAAACAAAGAAATACTTAAAATTGGAGTTAATTACGTTAGTGAGTACATTACTGATACGCACAGATGATAGAGATAAGTAATAGCCCTAAGGGGATCGGGGTCGTGTGCCAATGTCTTCCGATTTATGAGAAACCGGACGACACGAATAACAGACTGCTGGTCCGTAAAGATTCGACTGGATTTATTTCCGTCCACAATTTTGAAGCAGTCTTAATAATTAATTATTTGTATTGTGTAAGTAAGTTATAAGTAGGTATATTGAGGTAAATTCTTCAGTACTCTGAGGCTATAGTCATTGCAAGTTGATTTCCACCACCTACTCACCACTACCCACGAGATATGGACATTTGAAGCTATTGGAAGTCTCAATTGTATAGGATAACGAAAAAAATTAGGTATAATAGCCGGCAAACTTCTTGAGCATTTGTCGACGTAGTGGGGGTAAGTTCGCGCATGGTACACTCACGTGCAAAAACATTACTTACTCTGCGTCATAATGCTATTAAATTATTAAAATCAACATATTATGTATTTATTTATATATTTATTAGAACATCAACAAAAAATATAGGTTAATAATTGTAATAATTTAATCTTGGGGTANGTAAGTTCGCGCATGGTACACTCACGTGCAAAAACATTACTTACTCTGCGTCATAATGCTATTAAATTATTAAAATCAACATATTATGTATTTATTTATATATTTATTAGAACATCAACAAAAAATATAGGTTAATAATTGTAATAATTTAATCTTGGGGTAAAATAGATATTCCTTCTATTAAGTCAAAACTAGAACTTTCAAGTCAAGTCTTCGTTCAGTTGAAGCGAAGCTGGTATTTGTAATATTTTTTTCGTTATCATAATCTTGACCATCATCATCATCACTGTTTTCATCACCCGAGTCGCTATCATCGTGATGAGTCGACATAGGACTCATCGGTGTAGTTTACAACTCGGTCGGTTCGGTCTACTTTTTTGTCTATAATTAATTATTTTTTGAAGAGTTTCGCTGCTTGTTAGTTATTATGATTACATCGTTTTATTACAGATTGAACGAAACTATCCATTCCGGTAACTTTCTCTTCCCTGATCTTTTCTTACCCGGAGTCCGAAACACGGCGAGCAAGCCAGAGCCTTTAGCTTCGTTAATAATGCACCTAACAGTACTCACTGATGTTTTTCTTGCTTCCGAAGTCTGTTTTACTTTTTCCATATCATTCTTCCCCTGTTTTATAATGACGCAATATACGTCGTACATATTTTTTCTACCCTTTCTTTTGAATACTACACCAGTTTGTCGCGGCGTAGTGTATTTTTTATTAAAAACCAACAAACACTCAATATATAGCAATGGCAACAAAGTCAACAAGCAATTATAACAAATAACTTAACAATTAATAACGATAGACTTTTTACTGTACGCAAGCGTACTTTTGGGAGCAAGCGGAAAGAGGGCGCGGTGCGGGGCGCAAGGTTCGACTGATCTACCAATAACGCGCTCGATACGATTTCCCCTGCCGTCGCGCCTCACCTTCACCACCAAAGTGATCTAAAATTCGGTTCTGCGCAGTCAAGGTCATTTGCTCAAGAAGTTTGCCGGTTACTATAAACACTATTTAAGCCTTTGACAAGTTGTCCAGTCAAACAATATGAAATTTATTAAAATAAAACTATTAAACCTTATAATATTTTTAATTAGTATATGTTTCATAATTCTGTTTTTCTAGTGTGCTTTTTTATTACATATGGAATGTGTCTTGTGAATCGTCTGCATCCATTATTTGCAAAAATAGCTTGAGTCTCTGACGGACCGTATGTTATAACAGTTAAGGCATCCCTGAAACAGAAATGCAAGGAATGAGCACGACTTAATTTTTAACAAAATCCTCTCTATTTAATTTTTATAAAATAGAAGAATTCGGGTGCCAAAGTAATGTGAGATTAGGGCAGGTAATCATTTCTTAAAAAAAATTTTTTATAAATTAAACAAGGTTAGGTAAACAGCTTAGATAAAGTAAGCAAAACAATTACGCAAATTCAGTTTCAGTTCATTTCACGCTCATGTCACTCAAGTGGACGTCGCTTTTCAAAAAAGAAGTCGCTAAAGGCGATTTTCCAACTTCATACAAATTTGAGTCAACTTTTACGCGATTGAGAAGTTAAAAAACTCGCACTAAGCTTATGCGGGATTTACATTACGAAATTAGTGTCATGCATGTTGAGCTCAGTTTCACGAAAGTAGTTTCGATATATGCGAAAGTAATTTCGTTAAAAAATTAGTGTCTCGAAATCCACAGTATCGCAGTAACCATGGCGCCTTCAGCATCAAAGCTATAATTTGCTATATTCAATGTAGCTAAAAAAATGCTTATATACTTGTGGCATCATCCTGCCACGGCTACCTGAGTGCGGACCTGCGCGCAAGAATCAGGTGATGCGTGCGCGCGCCAATCAGGAGCCAACGCGCGGCCGCGTTATCGCAGGTGACGCCGGGCTGCTGCGCCGGCAGTCCGCCACAAAGCCTCGTACTGATCGCGCGTTTCTCTCTCATTATTGTAATTTCATATATTTGTTAGTCGTTTGTTTNACGCAGCGAATGGCACGATAATTGCTACTTACGGGCACGTTAACCTACACTTGGACCTAGGCCTTCGAAGAGACTTCCGATGGCGTTTCGTGATAGCTGATGTGTCAAAGCCGATTATTGGCGTAGACTTTCTCAGCTTTTACAACCTGCTCGTCGATTGTAGAAACAAAAGGCTACTCGACGGACTCACATCACTTTTTGTCACAGCACCACACCGGGGACGGATCGACGAACTACAATCCGTTCGCACAGTACTGAGCCATGAAGGTACGAAATACCACGACCTATTACGCCAGTATCCAGATATTACTCGTCCAGCTGGTAAACACGTTGATCCTAAGCATACCACGGTGCATCATATAAGAATATAAAAAATACTACTACTTAAAAAAATACTATCAAGAAAAGAAAAAAAGTTGGTAGATTCGAGGATGGTCAACAAGAAGGCATTTAGGTGCAATGAATTTAGTCTCTAAATTAGCAGATGAAGATCCTGAGAGTTATAAAAACTATTTTCGAATGAGTGAAGATAATTTTGATTTTTTACTGTAGGTGTTTCGGGTCCCAGAGACACCCTTGTCGCTGATATTCATTAATAAGATCTTTTTTTTTCTGTACTCCATCGTTGGTTTGCTATTTTCAAGGCTTGAAGCGCGTCCGAACTAACAATACACACGTCCGCACAGCGCAGGCCCTTTCGCGACATTAGTTTCACGTCGCGTCTACACTATGAAATTAGTTGCATGAAACTAATTTCACCAAAAAATTGCATGCATGAAATTAATGCATGCATTACGAAAATATTAAATTACACGTGAAACTGTTGGTAAAACTAATGTCACGAAATTAATTTCATGCCACTAATTTCGTAATGTAAATTCGCCTTTATAGAATCACGAAACACGTTGACATAACATCGATTCAGGTTTCTAATTGTTTCAGGCATCTATGCCTCTATGAATAAAACTATGGAACTAACAATGAATTATACTTACGCCATCATTTTCTTCGACGGCTTTTCAACGCCGTTAGCTTTAAATTCTGCAAGTGCACACATTTCGACGTGATGTTGTTCCAAGGGTAAAAAAGGTACATAGTGATCGATCAAATGGTGTGCAATGGCGGCCGCTTTCTCGAAGCCACCTAAAGATCATTGTAAGTTACTGGCTTATTTTAGGATTGGGCAAATAACTGGTTTATAAATTCATCACGTATGTCTGTCTGTCCAGAATATTAAGTCACATCTAGGATTAGGCTTCGTTTCTTGAGAGACCATTTCAGCGTAACCTTTACTAGTAGGTGAGCTCAGGGGGTCAAACCTGACGTCAATGTAGTCGTAGAATTATGTAAATATGAAAAGATAAAGGAGACACGGTCGACAATCGTATAACAAGCATAACCAGTCTTTGACCAAAATATTCGAAATAATGTCTAATCGTCTTCAACTCCGTAAGCAATAAAAAAAAAAAACAAAGTCGGGATCACTCATTGGGTTCGAAGAACCATTTTCATAATCTGATTTCTGATTATAGCATTGTAGTTTTAGTTGCATAAACTAATCATCGAATCTTTGATGATATATAATATTGTCGTTCGCGATGGTGTACGATCAACAAAGACGGATTGGCGCCTTCAAACAACTGAACGATTATTTGTCCAAACACAATTATCCTAGTCGTAAAAAGCTTATATTCTGTGCTCTATAAAAAAGATTACGACCCACTTCTGGTAGCAACCTCTAAAAGAAGAGTGTATAATATTTTTCCTATAATGTAATTTTTATCCTGATCCAGCGAATAATAGTCTGAAAGTGTGGCAGTGCTCATAACTTTTATGCTAAAAATGAATAAGCACCAACAACAACAGCATGCATCGAATATATCAAGGTCGGTTAGGAAATTAGGATAATATGATCAGAAAATAACATCCAAACAGTATTTAAAATTACATTGTTATCCAGTATATTATTTTGATTTGGATAAGAATCTATATATATAAAAATAAATTGCTGTTCGTTAGTCTCGCTAAAACTCGAGAACGGCTGGACCGATTTGGCTAATTTTGGTCTTGAATGATTCGTGGAAGTCCAGAGAAGGTTTAAAAGGTAGATAAATATGAAAATGCTCGGAATTAAATAAAAATAACAATTTTGTTTTTCCTTTGATGTATCCCCCGTCGGACGGATTCTTTTTGTTTGTTTTAAGTTTATTTTATACAAAAGTTTAGGTCTTTTATTTATTGATTGAGGCACTACGAAGTCTGCCGGGTCAGCTAGTATTAAATAATAAGATATTATATTAAATGATATTTAAATAAATCATTTTAAATTTATACTAGACAACCTATTTTTAAAAACTAAGATATACATAATGATACCTTGGAAATATGCTGTCCTCCGAATGATAGGTTCAAAATCACGGAATTCAACTTCTGATCGAGTTACACCTTTTTCGTAGAGTTCTAAAAGCTTTGTTGCTATTTCATGTCCTCCTATGTTTGATATAAAAATAAAGATGGTGTTTCTAAAAAGAGTAGGTTATTACTAAAAAGAGTTTTTGTAAATTTGTGGAATTCTTGGATGTAATTTTTTTAGTAAGTAAATCAGTGATATAAATTTACCTATAATCCACCTCATCAACAGCACTGTGGTGATCGAGCATTGGTATTATTGTATCAAGCACTGATGGACACATGTGATGTATCTCATCAAAGATAATCAGAGATTTGGGACATTTCTTCACCAGAGTGTTCAATGTATTAACTAACATTTGCTGAAAACAAATATTAATAATATAATATAGCATCAAGTGGCATGGCCAATCCTACATACATATTATAAACTAGGAGGATCAAAAAGTAGTGAGAATGAGATAGAATATAATGACTATGGATAACTTAATAATTTATTTTTCTATATAGTCTCCGAGTCTCTCTACACACCGAGTCCAGCGATTTTCCAAGGCTTCAAATCGCTTTTAAAAAAAAGTTTTGTCTTGGTCCTGCAAAAAGCTCTCCACGGCATCCATCATCTCGTTATCGTCTTCGTACCTGTCTTCCCTTAAGTATTCTTTCGATTTGGGGAACAGATAAAAATCGCTAGGCGCCAGATCTGGTGAATAAGGGGGGTGGTCAACCAATTCGAAGCCAGCTTGCTGAATGGCAGCCATTGCAACAGCCGACCTGTGCGCGGGTGCACTGTCGTGCTGAGACAGCACGCCCCTTCAAAGTTTCCCTCTCCTTTCTCTTTGATGGCATTCCTCAAATTGGAAATTAGAGCTGCATAATATGGGCCTGTAATAGTGGCTCCAGGTAATCAATCAACAATATCCCTTCTGAGTCCCAAAATATTGAGGCATAACCTTGCCAGCCGATGCCACGGCACGAAACTTTTTCGGGGTCGGTGAAGATGGCCGTTTCCATTGCGAAGATTGCTGTTTTGTCGCGAGATCAAAATGATGGACCCATTTTTCGTCCATTATTACGAAAGACAAAAAGTTTTCAGAATCTTATTGAAACTTGTCCAACAATATCTTCGAAATGTCAAGTCGATTTTGTTTGTGACTGTCGGTTAACATTCTCGGCACCCATCTTGCGGAGACTTTTCTCATATTCAAAGATTGTTTCAATATGGATTGAATACTTCCATATGAAATGCCCGTTTCTTGTATTAATTTTATCGGATGGTAAATCTTCGATCGCTCAATACAATTTTCTCGACTTTCGCAACATTTTCTTGGGTCACTGACGTTGATGGACGGCCGCAACGATGTTCGTCTTCCGTGCTCGTTCTCCCTACTCGAAATTTAGAAGCCCACCTTGCGACAGTGGAATACGGCAGAGCAGACTATAATAATGTTGCCTCCAAATCGCAATGAATAATAACGGCTCTCACTTCGTTTTTCTCCATTTTCGAGAAGACATTCCGACACGAAGCAAACAAATGACTACATTCAGAGAAAAACAAAAGAGAATCAAAGATTTTTTTCTTTATTAATATTACAAATATGTATCTGGGCTATGCCTGCCAGTGTTTTTTTTTCTTACCAAGGAGTATGTCGTTTTCACTACTTTTTGATCCCTCCTCGTAATCTTTGCTGTCAAAGATGGCGGGCGAATGCATGGACGAAATTAAAAAGTCCATGGCTGTTACGAGAAATAGAAACAATGAATTTACTGACTGTGGTGCTGTCGTAGTTAGCGCCCTGGACTGTTGCGCCGAGTCATGGGTTCGATTCCCACATCAGGCAATCATTGTGTGATTAACAAGTTTATTTGGGTGTTTTTGTATACATGTATACATTTAAACATATATAAGTTTGTTTGCCAATATCTTGTACCCACAACTCGGGTATCTTAAATTGCGGCTGGATAACTGTGTGTGATTTGTTTCCAATTATTATTAATGAAGACCATAAAGATGAGGCTCATTAGAATGTTAATCTTATCTATATTCTAATATGCTGCTGACATCGACAGTGCAAGATGTGGAAAAGAAGAAAATAGACACTCTGAAGAAGATGAGTGGAGTTTTGTTGACTAAGTTTCATGCAACCATTGCATTATTTCAAGAACTCAGCATCACGCATCTTTTTTCTATAGTAGTCTCAGATGGTGACTTCCTTCAAACATGTTTGGCAGATAGATAATCAGTCCATTGAACGCAGTGTCCTGTAGGGAAGGGCTCCAATGCACTAAACTGACCAAATCAGAAAAACAGTGGGAGATCCCCAAAATAAGTGCAGCCAGATGATCTCGAGCCGGGAGAGATGACGAGACATTGTGAGATGTGGGACGTCTGCCCTCATCAACACTTGTGATGATCGAGACAATTTTCTCAAGAGTGAAACAATTAAGTATTAAGTAAATAAATGACTGCAAGGACAACAACAAGTAAGTAAAAAGATTTGTTACATACTTTTTATATTATGGAAATATCACATTCTATTTTAAAATACTCACTTTTTTCTTTTCCAATTCATAGCAATCGAAATCTTTTTTACCCATAAATAGTTTTACATAGTTGCTCTGCATGCCTTTGCGATAGATAGCTTCGGCAATCATTGTAGAGGCAAAATTTTTACCAACACCTGACCAGCCATGGAGACTTATTACTAGAGCTTTCTTGTTCCCATTGCTTTCATTAATATTCTCTTTGTGAGCTGAGATAATATTGAAAAGTTCATTGACCAGTGGCTGACCAAACATTCGCTGTGAAAGAGAATCTCTCAATTCTGAAATCAAATTTTTATTTATAAATTATACTTTGACATGCATAAGTGCCTATATTGCTTTGATGGTCTCTAAATTCTGGCCTGAAGGATTTCAGTGATCGAGACTTCCATATTAAGTATCAAGGTTTTTACTGGTGGTAGGACATCTTGTAAATCTGCACACCAGCATGATATTTTTGACCATTTTTGCTGTAAAACAATAATGTGTTTGTATGGAGCAGTCATTGTAATGCAAAGCAGAGACTCAGAACTCATGACTCAAGGTGGTTAGTGACATTTATGTTGATTTCTATGGGCTCCGGTAACCACTTAACAGCAAGTGGGACATGACCTCGTCAACTCATTTAAGCAATAAAAAAATTGGGTGTGTTGTGGTATTGAGCCCAGTAAACACAACACCAGGTGGACCAAGAGCAAAACGGCAGATAAGAGGAAAAGAATAAAGTCTCAGGAATAACATCTATTATTTATATTCTGACTAAACACAGATGCACTTTATTTCCCTATTGTATATCGCTATTATACAAAATAGTTTCCCTATTTGACTTTGTGCTTGTAAATCAATTTTGTTCCTGCATTTTAATTATTTGGAACGGAACCTAAATATTCTTTCATATAAAAGTAACCAAGGTAGTCAACATATCTACATAGTAACATATCCGCTAGCTAGTCTCGACAGTGATTCCCATCAATTATTTTACAACAAAAGTTTCATAGATTAGGAGGAAAAACTGCAAGACAATTTGTTGTTAATGTTTTTTTGTCATAACTAAGGGTAGTTAGAGGGTAGTTAAAGAATATAGGCTATATTCTTTGATATTTTAATATTAATGCATTTAGTAAAAAGCTGTTATTTTGACATTATAAACAGTTAAATTTGAGTTTCTCGTAAGTAGTTATTTTTATAAAGTACACACTACACACTTAATATAGTTTGTTTTGTCAAGAACTTACTTTGTACATCAAAAGGTATGTGATAATCATTACAACATTCTGTAAATTTACAATATGTGGCATCCTTTAAAGTATCCCATTTATACAATCCGCTAGCAAGAACGATAGCTGATCCAACTAAAGATATCGTGATTGGTTCAGATAACGTGCTACTTAAAAACATAATTAAATATATTCCAATTAAATATTTTTGAACCATTGTGATTGTTACTCTTAGATAACATATTTTTTTTGTTTTAATTACGTACCGTACCGTATGTACCTATGGTACATACAGCATGTACAATTGTACATGTACTTCTCAAATATAATAAGTGTATAATCTATGCATGTACATAAACTATTTGCAAAAAAAGCACTTTTTTTAAGGGATTTTATGACCTAGTAACTAAGACCTTTAAGTCATGTCTTAATTTTATGAAAAATTACAATATGAAGAGAAATGAAATGAAATGAAGATGATTAATTTGGGACATTAATCAACCGGGATGAGATTAAATGAAATGAGATGAAATTATATGGAATGAAATGTATAATCTCGGTAAAATGATGGTAATTTACTGAGATTTTTTCAGTGTACTTTTTGGAGGATCCCGAGAAGCTACGTCCAGCGGCTTTGTTTCAGTTTCCCAAATTTGTGCACTTTCACAAATATTAAACATTTAATAAACCATCGTTATTACACACTTAAACCTGAATAAACACTAAAGACGCACTTTTTTTTCTGTGCTTTTGTCGTAGATTATGTCACAAATTATGTAGGTAATGTACCTAATTCAAAAACATGTTTTTGTTCGATTGATTCGTCCATTGGATAAGCAAAAGGGACGCGCCCATAGAACTACAGTCAAACCTGGATAAGCGAGAGTTCAAGGGAGCACAATCTCATTCTCGCTTATAGAGGTTTCTCACTAACCAGAGTTTCTCGCTAATGCACCCTCTGAATTTCATTTCGCGATTTTCCGGATTCAAATGCACTCAATATTTTAAGTTGATCACTTAAAACAGTACTTTAATTTTCCGTTTTGACATGATGCAGAACAGAACTTTACTTCGCAATTGTTTAACGATAAACTGAGTAAGTCCGACAAACAGGACGGTACACAGGCACACGTGTCCATTCGAAAAAAATGCTATAAAATAACAACGTTATTTAGTTCCACGAAATAGAATAGGTTTAATATATACAAAAACAAGGGTATAGGAAGTTTCACGAAAGTTAAGAATGAGTCATAAAATAGCAGATGTTAAATTTGTAATTTGTTTTGTCATTTGTTCCTCCTAAATAATATAAATAAATAAAGCTCGACTGTCGCTTATAGAGGTATAGATAAGTAGCACTCTCACTTACGGAGGTCCATGAAGGAAAAACGACTCTCTCTTACAGAGGTTTCTGTTTCTCGCTAATAGAGGTTTTGGGAGCTTAAAATGACGGGTCTTGGCTATTACTCTCACTTATAGAGTTTTCTCACTTATCCAGTTCTCACTTACCCAGGTTTGACTGTAAATAAAGTGAAAAGGATGAAGGCATTAATGGTGTATGGAAATGCAGGTAAAATTTAATAAAATGTGGACCATTTGCTTCATCTTCATTGCTTCAAGCAATAAAAAATATTGAGAGGCCACTTGCTAACCCACACAGATTTGAGCCCCCCCGGGAAATTTCTATCATGAAGCATTTTTTTACCTTCATATATGCATAAAACAAATTACAACCATAGTTTATAAATTACAAGTTAAAATATTTAATATAACAATCTGGATTGCAATTAAAAAAAAAACCAGGTGCATACAGAAAACTTATAACAACTGGACAGATGCCTTTTTTTCTCCTACCTATGTTGGTAGCCTTAAGAGGCTATTTCAACTTTATAGTGAGGGGTAGATCTCAGGGGTATTTAAAACTATGGGTTAGTCACCAATATCGAATTTCGAATTTTAATCTTCCTTTATCACAAACAATTTTCAATTTTAAACAATAATTACATTTAGACGCGGGCGCACGCTATTCACACTCAAAACGGAAGCGCCCGGAACATAGATTATACACTGTTGAAAAGATTGACATAGATGCTAACTATGTATAGCGAGCGGGCATACGGCCGCGAGAGTGACGTACCGGTCGGTTTGCTACAACTTCTGTTTGACGTGTAGGCATGGAGTTAATATGGTGTAGGTGAGCTCACGGGGCTCTAACCAGGAGTGTTGCTAGCACTAGCAAGAGCAGTGCTTTGCAGAATCTACCAACGGATCGGAAACGCGACCCACTGAGAAGATCCGGCGAGAAACTCAGTGGGCTGTGTCTATGAGTTAATTCACTCGTCGAGCCCTTCGTCGCAAGCGACGGGTTTGACGAGGACCATTATACACTTATATAATTGAGAGCGAAGACGGTGACCGGTGCTTGTGGTACCTAAAAGCACCGTCAATAGATCGGGAGGATCCGTAATGACTATAATAATAAATATATAATAATAAAAAATATAATAATAAAAATAATATATAATAATAAAAAAATAAAAAAAGGATCCGTAATGACGTGTTTTAGGCGACGTCGAATGTTTACCATTCGGTCTATAGGATCGGGTATGTAATCAAATATATTAAGTGAATAATCTATGTATGTAATGTATGTAATTCCCAGCGGCCACGACAAGAGGGATTTCATGTCGTGCCGCCTTTTCGAAGTGGCACAATGATGCCGACTGTAGATACTTACTGACTAAGTCAAGCTCCAGGTCATTATGGAGATTCACGTTCCTTAGGAACCATGGTGCACCCACGGCTATCCTGCAAAAACGTGATTGGATAACTTGAAGGGGTTTCAAGTCGGTGCAAGCCGCGTGAGCGAACACTACGCTTGCATAGGTCATGGCGGAGCATATGCAAGTTTTGTAGAGTGTCACCTTATTTCGAAAGGACAATTTACTTCGCTTGCAAATCATGGGATGAGACGTCCTAATATGAAGGCGGCACGATCACGTACCGTTTTGATGTGGGGACGGAATCCCTCTGTCGAGGGTGACGCCTAGATACTTGACCTTCGAGGCCCATGGTATTGGCTGGCCAAAGAGAGTGATGGGGTAATGGCGGAGGTGTTAACGCGCCTATTAGGGAGTGGGCTGCTCGAAGTGGTATTCGGAGAGCGACCCCTTTTGAAGAACAAATTATGATTTAAATACAAGTCACGCAAAGAGCCATGGAACGGGCTATGTTGGGAATTTCTCTAAGGGATAGTGTGTGTAATACCAAAATCAGCAGAAGAACTGATGTGACTGACATAGCCAAAGTGATTGCTCGGAAAAAGTGGAAGTGGGTCGACCACATGTGCCGTCGCAATGACAATCGGTGGGGCACAAAAGTACTGAAGTGGAGACCTCCTACTAGATGTCGTAACGTGGGCAGACAGCCAACGAGGTGGACCGATGACCTGGTCAAAGTGGTTGGTAGAGATTGGATGTGAAAGGCAAGAGACCGAAGAGAATGGAGTGCATTCGAAGACACCTACACTCGGCATTGGGTGGACACGGGTCGAAGAAGAGAGAATGCTGTTCTCCTTCCATTTTTTTAAAATAAATGGCATTATGTACCGGTAGCAGCATTATCACAGAAAATTGAATAATTTTACTTTTTTTAACACTTAGTGATGCCTATAAGTACGAGCTACCTGAGGTTGCACTTTCAGATACAAGCAGAGTAAAGACAGCTAGACAATGGCAGGCCTGAAAGGTTGATTGGTAGAAGCATATCTGTCTTAATTAAAAGTGTATAATGGTATGATATTGTTGACTAACCGTTTGGAAACTCCAAATTAATAATATTGAATACGCAATCGGTACGTAAAACAATTTCGCCTGAAATTTTCTTTCGTGACAGTCACCATTTTGTGATTGTGAAAATAATTGAGAAAAATCGAGATAGATGTATAATCGATTTTACATTTCGGAATCGTACATCGCCGTTCGCAGGGATAAGTGGACAACACTATAAGTAATAATTCCTTTCTTTTTGCTTGGTGTCCGTCTGTGGACGCCACTTTGTAACTTAGATTTAAAATATGGTGAGCATTACTAAAAATATTTATACAATATTCACAATGTTACTAAAATTTTGTCAAATGTGTTGTATTTTGGTCAACTTTATCAGTGATGGTCAAAATTTATATTGATGATTATTTAGAAGTCACGTCGACATTATTTCTAGTTTACTAACGATAGCTGAAGTAGAAATTTCAATATTGAATAAATTATTACATTGAATTACAGCAAATAACACAGTGAATATCATAAATATAAATGAAAAATGCTTCGAGTTTACAACCTAACCTAAGTGATGAAATACCGACACATGCGCGTCATCTGATGCTGTGAAAGGTGCAGAGTTGAAGTTCAGTGCCGTGTTTTATGTGTGCTGCAATATTCGATTTTGTGTCCTGAAACAGTGTTAATGATTATTAAGTGTCTCTGAAAATAGCTTCAAAATGATCTATAATTCAGCAGTGTTTGAAATTCTGAACTCAATAACATTGTTTATTTTACAGGGATTCGTTAAAGTTGTGAAGAACAAACAATACTTCAAGAGGTACCAAGTAAAATTCAAGAGGCGTCGTGAAGGGAAAACTGATTATTATGCTCGTAAACGCCTCGTTGTTCAGGTACGTACAAATGCTTTTTAATCATAGTTGGGGTAGCAGGACCCCTAATAGTATCCACTTGTTTCACAGTTTCAAAATGCTCAAATTGTAAAAAAATTGCCTTAAAATCTAAATTAAAATAAGCACTGAGATATTTATTAATAGAAATATATTTGAGGCCTTAACATAACAAGAATACTAAACTATTCCAGTTGAAAAATATTCTCTATGATTAAGCTGATGGGTAAAAGTGGAATGTGGGACAATTGTCTGTAGCACACTGGGTGAGACTTGCATATACTAATAATGGAGATTTAACTGTTTAAGCCAATCTGAAAAAGGTTATAAATCTGCACAAATAGCAGCAATATTGTCATATAAGGCAGGTAGTCTATAGGGCATATACTCGCTGCTTACTAATGAGCACATGTGGTTTATACAAATTTGTTTGTTTACTAAGTGAATATTGTTTTTCTTCAAGCTTAGTAGTCTGATTTGGTTCTTCAGGAACATATTGACGCTTGAAAGGCAAACATGACTAAGCGACAATAACTGATTTGTACATAAATGATAGGCAATAACCATATTCAATGCGCAAAAACAATATCTTTCTGGGTCTATTAAAATCATTTCAATCCTACAGCTAGATTTGTTAAAATATAATTTTTTTC